CATGGGCGAGCTACTTTTCTTTGTTGAGGTGAGACACCTCTTCTCTCAGCTACTTCTTCTCTGAGCAGCCACTTATTTGAGCTACTTCTGCTCTCAGCTGCCTCCCAGCTACCTCTTCTGTAGCTTCTGGAAGGTGGACAATTTTTCTCCAAACCTCGCCCTTCAAGTTCCCTGTCTGTCGCACGAACTCAAACACCTGCCGAGCTGTGACAGGGTAAGGGTAGAAGAAAAAGGGAAAGAGAAAGGCAAATGGTGAAAACAAACAAGGTGACGAAAACCATCCAGTTGTTCCTAAAAAATCCTGCCTCCCAGTTGCCAGTAGTATCCTTGTAGGACCGGGCCGCATTGGGAAGCATGCTGCTGTCCATGCCAGCGTTCTTGGGGTTCTCGCTTTCACCTGCTGCATCTGGTCGGGGTGAAGGTCCAGCTGCCGCTGCCGTAGGGGACGGATCTTCCAAATGCTGTTGCAGCTGACTTTTTCAAAGCTTTCGAAACTTCAGACTCAACAGCCACAGCCTCAACAGCCACAGCCTCAACAGCCTCAACAGCCTCAGCGGCTGCGGCCGTTGGCTTCAACTGTTTTGTCTTCTTGGCTGGTGGATCTCCTCTGCTGGAGGGAGGCCGCTTCAACTTTGGCGGCTGGTTTTTTTCATAGCTGGTTCGTCACCCTCCGGCTCTGAAGTCGAAACAAATTCTAGTGGCGAGTCTTGCTTCCTGCATGGCCAGAAGAGCGAGGCTGAGTCAGAGGTGGCACAGCCTCCTCTTCTTGTGTGTCAAAACCATCCTTGGGAGAAAACAGCTTGAAGGCTTTGTATGGGCTAGAAGGCTCTTCTTTGGATTCCAGCTGCCTTGCTTGAACTTCACGAAAGGCCGCGCTCACGGGCAAGCTTTCCCGTACTCCATTCTTTTGACAAGCCTGAAGCCCCAGAATCGTCCTCAAGTCTCCTCTCTTGAGAGTCACCATCAACATCATGCACAACGCCATGATGTGCATTTAATCGAAAAGGCACTGCTGCACGAAGCTGCGCCTGATGATCGTCAGCCGCCATGGGCAGACTCAAAACCGATGCGGTGAATTCGCACACTTCCGAACTGTTGACAGGATCATGACATGATGATGACAATACTGCCCCTGGACATTCGTCCGTAATTCAGAAGTTTTCGAACTAAACTTCCTGTGTTAAATGGCTTAATTTTTAAAAAACAATGATTAATTGGTATAGTGTGTGCGCGCGCGAGCTCATTTGCAGCGTGGAGATTCTGCACGATGTGGCTCAAGTCAAACCCCGCGGTGTTTCTGTGTTTGGATAGTTTTCTGTGCTGCAGCTTGCCTTACATGAGCGAGCAGAACTATGTGCGCTTTCGAACTATTTGGGCTTTGATCTTTGTGGTTCACGGGCTCTATGACCAATATACATCGATCTTCATTGATGAGCCCAGCCAAAGCATTTGGTACTACTTCTACTTGACGCATCAATCCCGATTGGTGCAGTCCTTGGGTCAGCTTACAGAGTGGATGTGTGCCCGGTCATTCTTCAAAGGAGAGATTCCATCGGCTTGGATCTCAAAGACAACCATGCTTTGCTTTGTAGCGGGGCAACCAATCCCACTGTTACTGGGTGAAAGCCCTTTCTTGTCTCAGATAGCACTTTGTTGTCTCATCTCGGTGTGCCATGCGGAAGAAGTGACACAACCACTGGAATGAATTACTACATGATTTGTTATTTGGTATGATCTTTGCAGCACAACGCATAGGCACGCAGGGATTCTTAACATGGCAAACGTTAGTTATATCAAGTTATATCCATTTGCACCCTAACAATCCCTGGGGCAACGTGAGTTTCCCACACAGTGTGTACACACTCGGGGGTCTTGTGATCGGTCCTCCTCCTCCTCCTCCTTTTCCTCCTCCTCCTCAGTATCATCATCTTCCTCCTCCTCCACATCATCATTCTCAGCATCATCCTCGTCCTCCCCCTTGACATCATCATCCTCAACATCGTCATCCTCCACCTAATTTTCTGCAACATCCTCCTCCTCCACCTCCTCTTCCGCAACATTAATTATCATCCTTTTTATCCTCCTCCTCAACATGATCATCCTCAACATCATTATCTTCCTCCTTCTCAACATCGTCATCCTCCACCTCATCATCCTCCACATCATCATCCTCCACCATATCTTCCGCAACATCATCCTCCTCTTCCGGACCTTATTGCTTGGATCTTTCGGACCTATCCACATCGTTTTCACCATTTACTGTTTTTGATCTGACGTGGGGATACGTGGGGTGGGTTCTGGCTGGGATGGCAAAATGTAATTCCGGTACCTCGTCCGGTATCTCGTCCGGTACCTCGTCCAAAAACCTTTCCAGAGCCATGATTCTGGTATTACATCCATATTCCATATGTCTCGGATTCCGTTACAGCAGGGCAGGGTGTGATTTCAATGTGATTAATTTCAAACTTTGTTTGTGAAAGTCTTCCACTCTCCTGCAAGTGTGCCATTGGGATTTTAGTTTTTTTGAGAACGACACCCTTTAATTTGTTTTTTTTGAAAATACCAGAACGCAAGCTGGTGATGCTGTTTCAATGCTTGGCTAAGCTTTTGACCTGGAATTGCTTTTGGCGGTGTGCCATTGAGATTTGACTCCAAGTTGACAGGTCGCACCTTCCCATATTCTGATTCCGGGCATAGCGAAATGCAAGCTAGGAACATGATTCAAAGTTTGCAACGACTTCGTGAAAGTCTTCCACTCTCCTGCAAGTGTGCCATTGGGATTTTCATTGTTTTTTGAGAATGGACACCCTTTATTTTGTTTTTTGGGAAATACCAGAACGCAAGCTGGCGATGCTGTTTCAATGCTTGGCTAAGCTTTTGACCTGGAATTGCTTTTGGCGGTGTGCCATTGGGATTTGACTCCAGGTTGACAGGTCGCACCTTCCCATTTTCTGATTCCTAGCATAGCTAAGTGCAACTAGGGACATGATTCAAAGTTTGCAACGACTTCGTGAAAGTCTTCCACTCTCCTGCAAGTGTGCCATTGGGATTTTCATTGTTTTTTGAGAATGGACACCCTTTATTTTGTTTTTTGGGAAATACCAGAACGCAAGCTGGCGATGCTGTTTCAATGCTTGGCTAAGCTTTTGACCTGGAATTGCTTTTGGCGGTGTGCCATTGGGATTTGACTCCAGGTTGACAGGTCGCACCTTCCCATTTTCTGATTCCTAGCATAGCTAAATGCAACTAGGGACATGATTCAAAGTCTGCAACGAGTTCGTGAAAGTCTCCCACTCTCCTGCAAGTGTGCCATTGGGATTTTAGTTTTTTTTCAGAATGGACACCCTTTAATTTGTTTTTTTGGAAAATACCAGAACGCAAGCTGGTGATGCTGTTTCAATGCTTGGCTAAGCTTTTGACCTGGAATTGCTTTTGGCGGTGTGCCATTGAGATTTGACTCCAAGTTGACAGGTCGCACCTTCCCATATTCTGATTCCGGGCATAGCTAAATGCAACCTAATAACATGATTCAAAGTTTGCAACGACTTCAAAACATGATGCATCTGAGCCGCTGTGCCTTGGGGATTTGACACCTGGGGTAACTACTGTCTGCCCTGGGGTAACTCGGTGTGCAATGGGGTAACTTAGGGCGTCTGCTTGTATGTATGTATGTATGTATGTATGTATGTATGCATGTATGCATGCATGCATGTATGTATGTATGTATGTATGGTATGTGTGGTATGTATGGTATGTATGTATGTATGTATGTATGTATGTATGTATGTATGTATGTATGTATGTATGTGTGTATGTATGTAATGTCCCTTTCTGTACGTCTTCTGTCTGTCTGTCTGGTCTTATGGTATGTATGGTATTCTGGTCCCCTGTCTGTCATGTCTGTTCTGTCTGTCTCATGCATGTCTGTATGTCCTGTAGGTCTGTATGGTATGTCTGCGTACTGCTTGTTCGTCTGTCTTTCCTGATCCTGTCCTGTCCTGTCCTCCTCCGTCGTCTGTTTGTCTGTCTGTCTGTCTGTATGTCTGTCTGTCTGTATGTCTGTCTGTCTGTCTGTATGTATGTATGTCTGTCTGTAGGTCTGTCTGTCTGTATGTATGTCTGTTTGTCTGTCTGTATGTCTGTTTGTCTGCCTGTCTGTCTGTATGTCTGTCTGTCTGTCTGTATGTATGTCTGATTGTCTGTCTGTCTGTAGGTCTGTCTGTCTGTATGTATGTCTGTTTGTCTGTCTGTCTGTCTGTATGTCTGTCTGTCTGTCTGTATGTCTGTATGTCTGTCTGTATGTATGTATGTCTGTCTGTAGGTCTGTCTGTCTTCATGTATGTCTGTTTGTCTGTCTGTATGTCTGTCTGTCTGTATGTCTGTCTGTCTGTATGTATGTATGTCTGTCTGTATGTCTGTCTGTCTGTATGTATGTCTGTT